TTAAATATAAAAGCAAACATTTTTATAATTTATATCTGTCTACTTCCTATTTCTTTTTAGTTTTTGTTGACTGTGTGAATTGCAAAAAATTCGTAGCATTTTAAACCAATAACACCACTTCCACCACTGTGACATGATATTCACAATAATCAGTCGGCTAAGACGAAGTTAATTACATGAGAGATTATCAGGAAGTAATTATTCGGTCGACGAATTTGCTCAACCACGCAATTTTATTGGAAATTTCTTAGTATCCAAATTACTCCACAGGAAATAAAAAATCAGAATAACACAAGAAATATTTCTGTTAAAAAACGAAACTGTTGTATAGTCCAATCCTTCCACTGCGACGCGACAGCAAACGCTGGCTGTCACAATTCAAGATTATGTCGTTGCCAATCATAGAATAATAAGCTTGTTAAATAATAAGTTTCATTCTCATCGCAGTCACACAAAAAAATGTCTGGAGGAAATGTTTATTTTGCTTCTACAAGTGAACAAAATATGCATCTCTAGCTAAATAGCCCACAATTTTATTTATTGTGTCTTGTCATTTTTGATTGTATTTGTCACGTATGAGCGTAATTTAATTTAATTTTCATTTTTAATTTAATTAAGGTATAACAAACTTATTTAAAATATTTATTAACTAATAAGGAAAACGTGAAAACTTGAACATCAAAATATTGAAGGGATTACATACATAAAGATTACATACATGTTGCTGTTGTCTGCTCGTATTCAGATGCACCGCTCATTTCCTGTCATTGTGATGTCAAGTCTCGACGTTGAGTGGTAAGGTAACATAGGTTAACGGTCAGCGGTGTTGACAGGTATTTGGTAGTATAATCGACTCGAAGAGGTTGGTATGTGATCGATGACAACATAGAGTAGATGAACCAATGTGTGGTTAGCTTCGACAGAAAGAATCACACGATAATGATATTCAGAGGGCACGTTTTAGTTTTAATTTCGGTTAGAATAAACATTCTTGAAACCGATTTCATTTACATAAATTCCATGTTGTTAATTTTTGTATGCTCCATATTATATCATTCAGTAGTTGGGAATTGAAATATCTACTACTAGATATGAAAAAGCAATATTTTTAGCACACTCAGATTGCAGGTACCATTTAAGGAAGTTTATATTTACAACCCAAATTACCTGAATATTCAAATGATTATTAGAAGGTAGTTTTAAAATAATGTATACTAATGATCACTCAATGGTCGAAATCCAACCGTAATTCATTAAAATTTTTAACGTTATTGAGGTTATTTTTATCAAATAGAATACCTGTATAATTATTGCATAAAATTATTTCGAGTTTTGTTCCATTGTCATCTGCGAGCGAGTACAAACACGTCATAGGTGTGTGTAATTTACCTTAATTCCCTGCAATACCTATGAAATTAGATCACCTATGAAAATCAATCTGTGAAAACAGGGGAATCACTAGGATTCTCTCCCACCCCCGCATTGTTGAGAAATACAATGAAAATTGATCTTGTGACAATCGCTAACGGAGCAAAGTCATTGGGAACTTGAATATACTCTCCAGGTCCCTTTATTTATATGTAATGTTAAGTTAACTGCAAAATTACATCACACTCCAACTTTTATAAAAACTAATATCGTTCACGTGAAAAAAATATTTTTAGAATAATATTATTAACAAAATGATTTTCACGCACACAAATGCAAATATGGAGTAAATTATTACTCTCGTAAACGTTTAGCTTGGAATAAAACGTCTAAAGATGTCTCTTTTGGTAGATTTGAGCGTAGGAAACAAATCCCGTAGAGGACAAAAAATCAAATATTAAGGCTTTGCAACGCATCGTTTTCGAGTTACGTACGATAGTAGTGTGTTGCAGCTCGTTGCCGCTTGAATCTGCATGCTACATTATTTATTTACATGTGTTTATAACACACAAACATACATGTGTGCGTTCTTCACTTTTCCTTACAGACTGTAACTGTGCGAAATCTTACACTTATCCATGTGCGTAATATACTGAAAATTTTGTCTTCACTTATTAGTATATAGATTCACAATTTGACCAAAAATGAACAATATTCACATTTTTCCTATTATTTGCACAAGGTACATTCTCTCTTCGGATAATTCTTCAAATACCTGCTCATTGGCCTATCTTTGTTCTGCGTTTAATTAGTCGATGGTGCTTAGCGGTTTCGAACGGAATCACGTTGCAACAACAACATAATTCCACGGATCGCTTCTCACCGTCAAAGCTTCAAACGTGGAAGGTGGAAACTTGAGCGTTCCACGAAATGGCGTGTGTTATGTGAAGCACACTCATCTGTGATGCGTGAAGCTACCAGAAATGTGGAACGTTTCCGTACTTAATTCTCGGATTATATTTGCAATTACTTAACTATTGTGTCTTCTGTATTTGTATTATATATTAGGTACAACTGCCGTTAAATAAATAAGATTATCGGATATTTACTAACTTCATACTATGTGTTAATTTTCTAGTTAGTTGGCTGAGTGGATCTTATTATACTTGCACGTTTTATATGTATTACGTGTTGTGCCTTACTCATTACATATTTTGCTATTGCATACATAATCTCAGATGACGATAAATATACTATATTCATTTGTTTTACACATTTGCACGAGACTATGGAATGTGTAATTATATTTTGCAATAGTCACATTTTTTCTATAAAATACATTTTCCCCTTCGTAACCCATTACCACATTTAAAGGAAATACTTAAGGTGCATATTATATAGAATAGCATAATTACATGAAATTAGAAAATCAGCCATTTTGTTTGGGTAAGGCTCATAACATTTCACAACATTCTTTCAAAATTTTCAGCAAACATATTAGATGACATTATGTATCGCTCTTTATCTCATAGTCGACCCATGGTCAACCCAGAGTTCTGTTGTAGGAATGTACTAAAACTAGACAACAGACTCGCAAATGGATGAAGGGCGGCGTGTTCGAACAACTCTTAACTGCCTCGTTGCGTCGGAAACACAATGGTGACAATCCAATGTGGTGCGCCGCGGCATAAAATTAGTTTCGACTGCCGCTGTTAGGTAGCGCGAGTCGCTGAAAGAGACATTCAGAGATACGCATCATGCAATAAAATGGACAAAAAATCTCTTACAATAGCATACAAACTTTCATAACTATTTGTTTTCTTGCCTTATATAATGATTTAATTTCTTCTGGGGATATATCCGTGCGAGATTAGTTGTGGTTATTATTAATAAAATTGTATCCCAACATTTAAAATAATTTAAAACTTTTCAAATACTTATTCAGTGTTGAAAAAATTTCAAATGTCCCATTAAATATTGCGTTTAAAATTAACAAGAAATGGAAAAAGTATCTTAAGTAATTATACAAAAGGCTTAGAAACTGATTAAAAACTTGTGTTGCTAGCTGTCGGAAACAGAGTTTTTTGACGCATACACAGTGTGCAATTCATCTAAAAGAAAAATCGTGTCAAAACCTTCTGATAATCGTCTCTGATCTGATTGGATCGTGTGTACATCACATTCAGCCGCTGGTCCTATTACTGACGCTCCTATTATCCTACATTCACGATGTGGTACGCCAGTTAGCTCTAGAACGCACCTTTCTTGAGTTATGCATCATCGATGTGTCAATGTGTTCGACGAAATTAAATATTGTTGGTTGTAAATCTATTTGAAACAAATCTTTATGGTAAAGTAGTGCCCAACAATTCCATATTTTCGAGTCCTTACCCAGCACACATTTACGGGCATTTAGCCACTCAACTCTTCTTAAAAGGGCTTTAACAGCCCATTTTTGTTCATGCCAGACGTAGTTTGGGTACACCAGTATGGTGAATTGTTTGCCTCTGGAAACTTAATTTTTTCTCATCACAATGCCAGTATTCATTTTATTTACGAACTTTTTGTATTACTTGCCAGGCAAAATTTATCTTAAATATTACTACAGTATTTTGGTTTTCTTTTATACGAAGCAACTACTTTTATTGAAAAACAACAATTTTACAAGGCATAATCTCACGCACTGTAAAATATCTGGCATTTTATTGTAAAAGACTTCTACATACCCATCCAACCAGAAAAAAAGCAATGTCTTTACTTATTGTTCGAAATTTGCATGTATGAAATTTGCAATTTCACCCCGTGCATTAGACCTGCTGCATGGGGCCTGGCATCACCTACTGTCCTATGGTCGACGCTCCGGAAACAGGCGCAGCTCTCAGCAATGAAGCGCCAGGCTGCGCCACAGGCAGGGTGCTGCGCATTCAGTTGCGTAATACCTTCAATTGTCACCCGCGAGTGCGCGAACGGATGGCAGGCGTGGTCGCGGCCACCTACGCACCATAGCCACCCCATTCCGTCACGCATGGCCTCCCGGGGCGGCCGCCTTTTGTGATTCACGGGGCGAAACCCAGCTCATCGTGTCGACATTGTGGCTTTGAACAAATGCGCGCGGTTTTATGCGACAAGTCTTTTTTTATGTACATTGCATGCATGATAAATACCTAGGAATTGTCATTCAAAGTGGAAAAATACCGGACATGGAGCGGAATCTGGAATTTTATCATGACTTTGCAGCGCGTTTTGTAGTATTCTAGTTTCTGTATTGCAGAGTACGAACTCACTGGTGTCTTAATAAACATGCATATATCTCTATGGGCATACGAGAAAAGGAATATAAAATTTGGTTAATAATTAAAATAATATTGTGGTTAATATTCGACGAATTCAAGACAAAAGATCTTCGTCTTCAAATGGAAGATTTCATCGAAGGAAACTACCCGTTGTTGGTTTTGTTTCTTGAAATAGTATGTTCCAACAAACTTACTATTTGGACTTTTCTCCCGAATGGAATATAAAAACATAATTTGAAATTTTTATTTTTAGAGCTTTTAATAATGCTTTTGAAACTAAAATTAAAAGTGAAATTTAATTATTACACTTTTTATTGTATTTTTTAAAGTTTCAAATACTTGAAGCACTCGGTATATGAACATTTATCTCGTATCACATTCCTGAAATAAAATAGAAAAGCTCATATTAATGAAAATATCAACCAGTGATATTTGTATTTTTATTATGATGCACTTTTATCCGAATGCTTCGATTTCAATTTCACTTCGTGGAAGTAAAACTCATTACCTTTCTGATGTCGAGTAGTGAACATTGTTTTCGCACAATGTGCTTTGAAATTTGTATATCCTCAGATTATATGCGATCTGTAAATGTAAAAACAACGAATATTTTATAACCAAAAAGTGCAGTCTTCGAAACATGATAACATTTTCAGCTATAAGTAATGCACAAACTAGTCGAGAAAATTTGCAAAAGCAAATAATCACTAGTTACAATGGTGTTTCATAGAGCTAACCTTTTATGAGCACATCCTTTGTTATTAAATCATTAAAAGAGTAATGCATGGAAGACTAGAAGCGCACTGAAGTGCCAATTCTCGTATTATTTTTTTATTTTTCCTGATGCACGACTGGGAGAAAGGAATCAAATAGTTCTAAATAATGTTCTTATTTCCGTTTACAAAATTCGAGTTTCCTATATTTATTAAAACATTGCCTCGTAACTGGGTCGTAATTCGGTCATGTGAGTGGACTGCGCACTAACGTATCTTAATCGTAATTATATATTTGTGCTTTTTTTGTATATATTTCATTTGAGTATAGGTTTAGTTATTTATTTTTGAAATTTTTACGCTTTCATTCCCTTAATGAATATTGTGAATACTATTTTTTTCTTCGTCACTCTAAACTAATTTTATAAATACATTTTTAGTAATAAAAAATGGATTAATTTATTTTAACTGTCTAAAATTTTAAAAAAAGAACTGAAGAATATTTAAAAAAACAGTTATCATTTTAGCTTTTAGTAAAATGTTTTAGTGAAAATGATGCGTCTCTTCGTCTCTTCTAAGTATCAGATAGAATAAAAGAATATCGTTTCGTTAAGACGCACTTGACACATTCCGTAAACTCAAACATGCATTACTCACAATATGAATAATTTCTAGAGATGCAAATGCTAAAATTGCGAGATGTTACCAAACGCTGAGAAGAAATAGTAATGGCATGTTTGACAGTTTCTACGGTACATTACTGGAGGTTTTCAATCTGCGATTAAATGCGAAATCAAACGCAAAATGCGAAATCACGTACAAAGTGCGAAATGGTCGTAAATCTGGAATATATTTGCCAAATTGCATACTTTAGTTTTCTTCATGTTAGCTAACTAGGCATGCGACATCGACAACACCACATCTAGTTTTGAAAACATTTCATTTGACAGTAGCTAATAATGTAGAAGCTGAACGATTTTTAAGTCAATATAGTTTAATTATTACTGACAGAAGAAATGGGTTTTATCATAGCCAACATACAATAGTGTTTTTTGACAGATTATAGTCCAATATAAGACAGAAATCATTCTATGCATTTAATATTTTTTCTTTAAATATTTGTTGAAGTTCACAAATAGTGAACTATTACATTAATTTCTCATATTTTCTGATTTTAATGGGAAAATTTAAAAAGCATTAAAATATTTTTTATCTCAAAGACAACTCCCTTAACAATAATTTTCTCAACAAATTAATATATCTTAATTTTTATAATGCTATAAAATGCTATAGCCCTGTTTTCAAAATGCGATTATTTAAAATGTAAAATTCTAAATTCTACATTACTCATCATTTCTCGTAACTTTAATCTAGATCAAAGCCATTTTGTTCGGTTTTCAACTATGTTATTCATGAAATATTAATCGTTTCGGGCTCACCGTTGAGGTAGTTCGTAACTACTTAGATCCCGATTCCGATTTAATGTCTCCCATGATTTAAAGCAAATATTCCTACCTCGATATCCACATGCGCATTGCATTCTGAAAGTCTCTCATTGCTCGAGACACGGCCGTGGATGGAACCTGCCCGCAGAAAATTCACTTTAGAATTTATTCCATGTTCAGTGGGTTCATCTGCACAAGTGGTCTTAGCCATTCTGTGCACCATTTGAAAAAATCGCTAAATTAACCGGCCAGGTCTAAAGTTTCTAGTTAAGAAAATTGTAGCAGGGGTTTATATAGTTAGCCCCACAAACTAACCCAGACAAAAGTGACCATGAATTATATTCGATATACTACTAATATATTAGCATCGGGGGATGTAAATACAATGCTGGATAGAAACTATTTATGTCAGAAAATAGACATTCTGAATGCAATGTGTACAAATGACCACATAGATAAAGCACTTAAGTGGTTACTGAAATGTCAATTAATGTAAGTTACTCTTTTTGCAGAAAATTGAGAATTTCTGTCACTCGTCGGCAAAATTAATGATTGTATTTCTCCCAGGAGTAGGTCGCAGAAATGACGGGCAAAATGATGGTCTCTGTGCCTAGCACGCAGCGTCTCCAGGACTGCCAAGTACGAATACAGACCCCGGCCGCGAAAGCGCACACTTTCGTAAATGATAAAAACTAATTAGTAAGGCAAATTTATCAAATAAACCGGGCATACGACACAAATGATATTTTATAGAACACTAGCTAAACCAGTGTTAATCGACGAGTGTTGTGACAAAAGTCATAGCAAGTACTTTTTACTAAAACAAATATTATTTGATCACATAATTCTACTTGTCGTTTGAAAGTAACGCAGTACTATTCTGTGTTCACAACAACAGATGTGTTTTTGTGTGTCTATTAGAATAGAGGGTAATGTGAATTCGGTGTCTGACTACGCCGTGCGAGATGAATGTAACCTGTTTACATCAGCGGCCATATACCAAGATTTAACACAAAGATATTAATTTCAGTTATAAAGTATGGTACATTTTGGACTGGGAAACCAACTAAGAAAAAACTAACTTTTTTAGTGAGAAAGTGAGATAGAAAGACCGGGTATTTCCAGATCGGAATAAGGCAGAGAACGGCGGAGCAGGGCGAGGCGGGGATATAATAAATTGATAAACGTAGGCTCCACCGCAGTGCGGCAATATATCAAATTGCTCCTCTTGTTTAATGAATTATGATAAAATAACCCGGCAACGCGGGTTACTTACGCTAGTTAAATAATAAAGTTAGAAAGTTCATGCTCTTGTATGTTTTTTGTTAATATATTGTGCAACATGCAAAATATTGAATCTGGGATACAGACTTTTTGCACGTAGCGTATATTATACTGATTTTAGATGTTATATTTATATTTGCATAAATGTGAGTATTGACTGAATTTATTTTGAATTTTTTTTCAATTTCTTCGTAGAAACATTTATTTTCAAGAAAACCCTCTCAATTTTTTAGAATAAACGTGTCGAAATTCAATTACACACATACCATATCATGTGATATGGAAAAACGTTTTTTGGGATTTCGAATGAATTTTGCAGCGACTCTGATTGGAAGGTCCTCGAGTTTGAGTTTCAAGGGTGGCAGGGTTTTCGTCACTGGCTACCCAGCTAGTTCCAATTCAGTTGCTCTCTGGAGGAGACGTCAAGCAGACGGCTTCTCCAATTGGTAGTTTTGCGTGGTTTTTCCAATACCAGACGAATGCCGGAGCAATACCCTCACAAACACAAAACAGACCGCGCGCGATTTTTCCTTTCTTTTTCTTCCTACTTTCTCCCCCTTTCACACACACATACACTTTCATGCACTACATTACAACACATTTCAGTTTCAGAGAGGTCGTTCCGGCAAAGGGGGGGGGCATTCCTGGAGGGAGATAGTCCCCGTAAGTCACCATGTAGGTCAGCGCTAGATCTCAGCAGCCAGTGAGGGGGGAACACACTCGGCTACCAAAATAAGATATTCGCTACACAAACGGGACTGATGGTCGTAGCAATTTCCAATCACGGAGACAGTCAATCAATCGTATGGATTTTAAAACGTTATCTAATAGGAGGCGTTTTTTAAGAGCAGTAAATCTTAACTATTTTGCATGATTCACTTGATATGTGTGGAAAATGTTTTGCGGCCAATACCATTGCAAAAAACATGTTCTTGTTTCAACAACATTGCATATTTTAATTTTTTCAATGTATCAAGATTATTGTGGCATATTTGCATGCATAATTCGTGACTAAAATTTTGAACTTCCCTCCTATTTATGTCTCTGCTATAAGAGAGAGTTATTTAGCTGCCGGCTGTCGCTGCTTGCAAAATATTTGTCTTACTTACTTTTCGCTCGGAGCGGTTTTCTTTTTGGGTGGAGGTTTCTTTGGAGGGTTGTTCTTGTCCGCTATTGAACAACTTTCCAGCAGAAGTGACAGTCGGTACGAGTCCTCTCCAATCTGCACAAAACAATTGTCCTACTTTACTCGAATTCCCCTCCCAAAAAATGGAACGCATTAGAAAAATTTGCGCTAAATTGGCGTAATTTCCATTGAAATTCCTTTTCTCCAATGTAATGAATGTAAAGTGATTAATAAATATGTGTACCCATTCCAAATATGTAGGTATCTACATTATTAATACATATTGACCATTTATATGCTTGTATAATAAGTATGTAATTGTATAATTACTGTAAAAAATGTTTATTCTTGTGTAAATTATAAATTGATTCTCTTGGTCGCTTATGACCCAGTTGTTGAAAACGACCTTAAATAAATTAAAAAAAGTTATTATCGCCCAACCATATGCGATATTGAAGTAACTGTGAGTGTGCGCATGTGCATATGTATTATGTGCGGTTCCGTCACTTACGATTATACCACTTTCCGTGCACCAATCGAGATATATGAGGAGTCGTTCGTCGCGTCTCTGTCTCCTGATGGGGAACTGGTACTTTGTTTTCGGATCTGGTCAGATGATTTTAAGAAATTTTCAAAAACGTGTTTTTGCGTGTTTTGGGGCAGCAAACTTAGTGCATAGATAGTGAATTAAACCAACGATATATAAATATATGTATACATGTGGCGTTGATTAAGCCCGTGTACCCAGTGACAATTTGGTTGCTCAACGACACCATCATTTTCTTTCACGAGGATGGCCACACTTTTTGTTGCCATTTCATACTTTTAAAAAGGAATCTCGTGCAATATTCAATTTAATTTTCATTTGCATTGTCGTATTTATAAAAATAAATTTGCAAAAATCCTACGATTAATGGCAAAAAAATGCCTTGGAACCTATTAAATTTGATGATCTTCAAGTGAATACGGAGAAAATTAAATAGTGAGTAATATTAGAGATTGAAAGGACGTTCGTAAGTATGTTTGGTTCGGACGTATGTTCTTACATTCGACTTCTCACATTTACGTTCTTATGAGCAAATACCTATTTTCAAATGAGTTTGACTAACAACTTATTCTTATTAAATATAACTAGAGCCTTAGCCACATAAACATATCACATAAACGATCGCCTTTTAACATTTGTATAAATTCGTCCACGAAGCGAATAATAGGACAATAGCTAAAGTCAAAGTGAACAGAAATTAGGCTGATTCAGTGGAGTTTAAATCTCTTCAAAAATTAGAAGACAAAAATCTGAAAGTGTTAGGCAAATAAAGTTGTAGAAGATTGAACCTGAATTTTAGGAACGAATTGAAAATGAACTTATTAGAGAATAACGCTGAAGAACGGGATCTTTTTTGTGCATATTAGCAGACTAGAGGAGCTACAACAGCACTTACTTTCTCGCATGATTGTAAATAGTTACATAGTATTAAAATATTTTAATTTCTGCCATTCTAAAATCAGTTATATGTCCCTCCGTTATAATGTTAAAAAGTCTAATTCAAACGATTCGCTTCTGATGCTTGTCTGCATTTATTTCCGTTAGCAGGAAGATCAGTAATTTCTTACTTTTATAAATGAAACAACCATGAATAAATTTAAATGTTACAGTTTTTCAAACCTAATACTGAAAAGAAAAAAAATTCATACAAGCTTGCCTTTATTACATTTGAAGTGAACTTTCCAATGCGATTAAAACTTCTTGAAGAATAGAAGTGTGTTTGTTAGTGCTAGATTAAAATGTATTACCCTCCTTCAATGTATTTCCTTTCATAAAAATATTATCTCTATCATACAGTAATCATGACCGACAACAATGGGATGAATTTGAAGAATTTTGAAACCTCTGGATTCCAATATTCCGAGTTTTGCGAGTTTTGAAAATGCAGAGTGCACCAAAAATATGACCATCATCACTATTATTACAGTTCTTTGCTGTATACAAGGATAAAAATAAAATACAAAACTTGAAGCCGGTTTTGACAATTTTGTTTAAAATGGTTCTAAAAGCGTCTATGTTCCATTTAAAAGTAAGAAAAAAACACATATTTTCGAAATATTGGACCTGGCGTATTTGGAAGAACTGTTCTTGATGAACACATTTCATTAAGAAAAAATGTTTTTTGCAAAATTATAGTTGATGGCAGACACCCTTACAAATTTTGAATTGTTTCAATTTTCGAAAAAAAAATTCGAAGGATTTTTACCGCACGTGAATCCATTCTCTTAAACGTTAGTCCAGTCTGAACGTGAATCCAGTCTCTTAAACGTTAGTAAAAAAATTAATAAAAAACAATGCTGCCATTTTTTGAAAGTTTTGAAAATGTCCCACGTGCTTTCTGTAATGTAACCCCCAAAATTAAAATATCGGTTTCCGAGTAAAAGAGTTGCGACATCAATCTAATCAATTGAGAAATATTAATTTTGTAGAAAATCAGCTGGACGGTTTAGCCGCTCGCGTTGTCCACAGACGGACGAACATAACTTTCTCTTTTGTATAAGTACCTTCTTAAGAGCTAGAATGTAAAAAATCGTACAAACTATTACTATAAATTCCTAGTATTTGCATTATCCATTCCTGTAAGTCTTTTTATGACGAACACAATTTCTATTATTACCCGTTTGTATCCGGTGTGGAGGCCATTGAAAATGGGAATTTTTGAATAGGAATTTAGACATTTTCAACACTTGAAAACGCATTTAAAATAGTTAAAACCGTGTCGGCCACATTCACCTAGTAATTATTATTTTAAATATATCTGTTACCAATGTTTTAATTATAACTAATTTATAAAAATGAAATGAATGATTTTTAATAATATTTCTTCGTTTTGCGTAAAGTATTTTTCAATTTTTGTACCATTTGGAAATTCATCTTTTTCATTAACATCGTAATATCTTCCTTTACAATTACCACACTTATTACTATAGATGTATTATATTTCCAAGTATTATAATTATATTACTTATGTGTTTACATAAAACTTGTGTGTAATTTTGAATCATATTAATCTTCGAATTTAGTTTTGGAGGTTTTTATTCTAGATCATCTTTTTCATGCCTTTTGTCGTTCTCCTTAATTTCTTTTCGCTAGAAACGTATGCGGAATGATCCATTAGGTCCCAAATTGAGTAAAATATTAATTTTCACTTTTCTATAAAACGTTTATTGTTTTGCAAAAGTATTTGTATCTATAAATTATTTCCAATATGTTTTAGATTACACGAAAAAAGAGCATCAATGAATATTATTTTATTTTCTTCAATAAACCTCTTTTCTGCTTGGCCTTAATAAATTATTTTCTTGGTGGTCACCTACGCTAGTGTTTCGTTAACATTCTTTGGAGTTGAAATAGTAGTGTATACTCAGTTTACCTTCCCACTTTTGTCAATGCCGTCCCTTGGACTCTACTTATAAATATTTTGTAGTTTGTTCATTATATAACGTACGTTTCTTAGAAAATATAGTGTCATATTTTACATTTTTTAAAGAATTGACCAAAGTAAAACTTCATCACTGGCATTGTCTACTGTCTGCAATGTAAAGTTGACTCCCGTAACTACCTGGAAAAGCGCAATCGGCCAAAACGTTGACATTCCGTTTGTTTTTTTAATAAGTTTGGTTACTTTTAAATGCAAATGTTTTTGTCATAACTACAACTGAATAAAAAGTGATCAATTCTTTATAAAATGTAAATTCTAATACCAGAGGGAAAATAGCAAAGTAAGTATCATATTTTATTTGAAAATATGGTTCAAATGTGGCATACCAGACGCCTTGTCATGCCAGCTTACCACCAGACCGTTGACACGTTGCCATGCAGAATCCCGAAGGACGCCACTGAGCGGGAGGGGAGAGTGACAACGGTGCACCTCGGAATAAATTGCAAGAAAGTGAAGAAATTGTTTTATATTTCGGAAGTAATGAATTAGTATTTGGTAAAATATTATTATCATTTTCTGTATGTTTATATAAAAGTATTATCAATTTTTGTGGAATGGTCAAGACATACATATTTGAATATTTTCTGTTCTAGCGAATTTTTCCGCAAAGTCACCGATAGTAGCGTTCATGTTTGAAAAACTATTTCAACGTTCATAAATTTGCTCCAACTGCATAACTGCTCCTTGCATTGACAGATACTAAAATAAGTTTCATGAAGTTTACGGATAGGTCGGACTGTAAGAAAACCAGAGTAACCGTAAAGCGATTTCACAAGTATACGATTTAATAGTTTCTTTCTGTAAACATCCCATATGTGTTGAAAGACGAAATTATCACTAATAGTTCAAAACGTTTCTACTAATAAAAACCTTGGAGGATTAAATAGTAACTCCTTACCTAAATACACAAGAAAAAACTGAGCAGAAGCCTGCCATCCCCCCTCCCATTAGTATGTAACTTAAGGCCAGATAGCAACCTGACATAATGAGGCGTCTGGACTGATACGTTTGAACCATATTCTCAAACAAATTATAATACTATATTGTAAGAAACGCATGCCATGTAATGAACGAACTACGAAATACTTGTAACTATACTTCGATTAAAAGAGAATGTTCCTTCAAAGTCACGAGCTGAAAAGAGTGAGGAACGCTGTCGTCTAATCGTGTACTTCAATATCAAACATTTAAGTCGTAACGAAGCTTGCTATTGGATGAATATGTCCCCCTCTCCGAGCTTGTGACCTTTAAGGGACACACTTTTAATCTAAATACAGAGCCCAAGCGACGGCATTGACACAGATCCGATGGTAAAATGATAAAATGCAATTCAACTCCAAAGAACGATAACGCGACAACAGCGTTGTTAATCGCCATGAAAATAATGTGTTAAGGCCGAGGAGTAAAACAAAAGAAGCGTGCTGAAAAATGCCTGCTTGAAACCACACGGTCGAAAAAATGAAGTGAGAAGCAGCTGAAAGTGTGTATATGGGGCTATGTCCGCTGGCCAACTGACCCTGACGACCGGCCCCTCCTGCACTGCGCGATCCAGCGCGTAGCGCACGGCGTCCTGCGGCAGCTGTGATCCGCAGCGCGCCATCTCGGCCTGCACGAGGGAAGGTTACTATTTGGTATGCTATATTTGGTATACATTCCAACAGCAGAGTGGAGTACGGATATCTTGACGCTAAAAAAACACGAGTTGCTCCAAAAGCCAACGAAAGAAATATCAAAGCAGAATAAGAAAGTCGAGACGAAGAAGAAGAAGAAGAAGAAATGAACAAGGAAAAGGAAAAAAGAGCTTTACCATAGTCCAATTTTGTATGATCTGAATTATTCACTTAACAAATCGTGTATTCTGAATATTTTCATTTCTCGTATATGAAGTCTCGATACAACAAGGGTGGATCTAGAGAAAAATTTTGGGAGGGGCAAATTAAAAATGTTTTGGTCCAATTTTGTCATTGCATATTTTGTAAAATATCGCAGGCTACACTCAGTTCATGCTGCGGTATGATTTTATTCGTTTTAATGGTTATCCAAAAATATGTTTGCTTCAAAGTTTCGTGACAAGTTAAATGAATAGTTACAGAAAAAAATTAGGACGGGTGTTCTCTCATTTCTCTCCCCGTGGATTCGCGCCTGATACAGAGACTCACAGTTAGAACGTTTCTACCGTAATGAAATAACATGGGTGACCTGGTTCTGCGTACCGATATTTGCGCGTTGTGCACCGCAACCTTGTGACCTCTACACAAGCACGTCGTTTGAAAAGACCGATGCTGGCCACCATTCTGCATGGCAAGCGAGAAGTGTTGAGAAAAACTTCCAAAGTGGCATTTAGTGACAATTTTAAACGGTGACCAACCAAAGATTACACGATAAAGGTGTAGTTGAAATTAGAGAAATATTTTTTTAATGGTTCATATATGTAATGTTTCAATGATTTGTAACAAGGTGATAGTTTTTTTGAATCTGGCTGCATTTAAAATCCTGTGTGACTCACTCTGGTGCATGAAGCTCATTTGGTGAAGCCGTATAGGCTGCGCATTATCCGTCTTTTCATCATGCTTCATACCATCGGAATTTATTATAAGCCAGTATTTTTTTCTATACCGTACTGCAACGCAGCATTTAGCTCACTACATTAATCAACAATATCAATACAAATGTAAATACCGGTAACAACGAAACCAAATATTCTCGAGCATTCAACCAGCGATTCAAGTGAGCCGCGCCACTATTATCTTGGAAATTACGAGAAATAATGAATCATGAAAGGAACCAAAGGAACCGTGATACCCTAAACCCAACATAGCATCAATGCAATAAGTATATACTTGGAAATCACGAGAAATTATGAATCATAAAAGGAACCAAAGGAACCGTGCCACCCTAAACCCAATATAGTATCAATACAACAAGTACGTAAAGAATGGCGAGTGCCCTACCTGGACGTCGGCCACGCTGCAGGCGGCGGGAATGCCTTGGGCCTGCGGGCGTTGTGCCTGCAGACGGCGCAGAGCCTCCACCGCTGCCATCGTCTGCACCGACAGCGGCAGACTGCCCTTCTGCCCCGACATCCCGCCCGCGGCCCCGCCCCCTTCTCACGCTCCCA